TCTTATACAGAAGATCTGAGCACCTGAGGATTTTGGCATCCCCGGGGTCCTAACACATCCCATGAGCTTACCAAGGGGTGACTGTGCATCACCCCATTTAATCCCCAGGGAAGCCCCTGGAAACCCCAGGCCATACAGCGGACCAAACCAAATGCTAGTCTCTGCAGGGTGAGTCAGTAGAGCTCTCCCTGAGAATACATCCCAGTTCCATTTTTCTGAACCATGTCCCCCGTGATCACCTTGGGCACAGCCACTGTCTTCCCATGCCGGGGAGCCCTGAGACCCCACCTCTGCCCTTGGTAGTCTCTCCTCTGAAAGGTCCAGCATGGTCCTTTTTCAAGCAGACAGCCTTTCGGATGCCTCTTTGTGCAGACTGCCCTTGGACCCCGAGCTGTGGAGGAGTTGCAGGGGGATCTGGCCCTGCCCCTCAGCCCTTCCCGCCCCCGCCCCCAGCCGTGGCTGTGCCACGCTAGCGTGTGCTGTGATCCAGGAACTCCCCACACCTGCCATCTGTCTTGCTGACTCCCCACTCTTCAAGTGGGATCAACGCTTATCCAGACTCCCCGGATGACTAGCATCCTCGCCCTCTGTCTTCCTGGCTGCCGCAGGGGTCCTCGGCGGAGGCGTGGGCTTGGTGAGCACGTGTGTGCGCATGTGCGTGCGTGCGTGCGTGCGTGCGTGCGCGTGCATTGCCTGTGGGGACGCGCGGGCTGCTGGGTGCGAGACGGCTCTTCTGTAAGCTCCAGCGCGCTCCCAGCCTGTGGCGTTGGCTCTAGGGAGAACTTGACTCTAATAAATAAAATAATGTCTCCGGGCTAAAACAATAGGCATCATATAATTATAGAACAAAGTGCCTATTGTTTTCTGGATATGAATATTGGCTACAGAAATCAAATTTACCTCATTGGATGTGAGAGAATGACTTTAAAAATTGATTTATAAGAGGAGACATAAAACTGAATCCACAGTTCTTCCTCTTCTGAATGTTCTTTGCGATGTGTCTGAACGCTGCTATCAATGCTTGATTGCATCTCTGTAATTGTCTCTTTATGGAGAGCTTTTTCCCCTCTGATGCGTAGAAATGTATTAGGAAAATCAAGGTTCCTTCCAGAAATAAACAGATGCCAGATTAGACCATTCTTCCTATTGATGCACATCCATTTTTCAGAAAGAGACAATTTTACTCAAAGATTTGGCTTCTGTCTTTTAAAAATGTTATTTTCTAAGTAACTGCTCTTATTAAAGAAAGTAATTAAATGAGACATAAGAATTAGACAATAGCCCAGCCGAGATGGCATGGGGACGCTGCCATGGCGACACACGAGAGTCAGGTTTATACAAAAATAGTCATCATTGCTGAGTGTTTCATGACTCATTGTTAAACGCAAGGACTCCAGAGTGACATGACAGTTCAGGTGGGTGATATTTTCAATGTCACAAGTTAAAACTCTGAAGCATTTATTCAGGTCTTTCCCAACTGTGTGCTCTGGGGAGGAGGGAGTGCCGGTGGGGTCTCTTCTGCCCCCTAGAACATGGCTCACCCAGCAGCTCATCCACCCAAGCAGCTGGATGCCCCGCATAGAGTGGCGTGGGGTGTGCTGGTGACAACGATGTCTACATCCACATCTCTGTTCAGACCAAGCTGCAGCCACACACGTCTGAGGGGCACACGGACACATGCCGGGAACACGAGCACAAGTGTGTGTGAGCCGGCGTACACACAGCAAGCCCTGGCTCCCTACAGCTGACCACCTGACCCACGCTAGCCGTCTTGCGCTGTCCATTTCTGTACAGCCCCTTGGAGGACAGGCTTTCCACCATGCAGGGACACATTGGGTCAGTCCTCGGGGGATGGGCCGGTTCTGCTGCCAGGCTCGGTCCTGGGGTGGGGGTCAGAGGCTTGGAAGAAGCCACTGGGGAAAGCTTCAGGCTTCTCTGGGACTTGAGGGTGTATGTGGGCACCATAGACTCAGTGACCATGGTCTAGACGGATACAGTTCACTTCTGTGCATCCCCATGGTGTCCCCACTGAGTCACATGGTTCACGCTGCACAACAGAGCTCAAGTCCTGCTCACTGGGTGAAAAGAGGTGCATTAGCTTATACGCTGCCTTGAGGGGTGCTTACCCACAAGGCAGGTCAGAGAGGTGCTACCACTGCTCTGAGGGAGGCTGGCCTTGCCCTCGCTCCTGGGAGGGGGTATCTAGGCCCCTGGACCATCCTGGCTCCTGGGGGCTCTTTGCTTGCTTGGGGTCTTGGGTTATGCTGTGGACTAAAGCTCCAGCATGTGATCAGGGTTAGTTGGGGCTCTGCGCAAAGGCCAGGTGAACTTTCCTGGCTGGTGACGCTTCCCACACTGATGCTGGGATAGCAGTGTGTCCTTGACTATCAGCAGAGGCCCCCGGAAGCTCCACATTTGGGGTCCTCCTGGATCCTGCTGGTTGGGTGTCTTGTCTCAGCTGATTTTAGTCCAGATTCTTTTCCTACAAAAAGCTGTAAACTAGAGCACAATAGCCTTTGTGGGTTCTGTGACTTTTTCCAGCAAATTAATGACCTGAGGGGGCCTGGCATCCTGACTCCCTGATTCCCAGCTGATGTCAGAATGCGGTGTCCAGTGTGCGCTGTGCTCTCAGCTTCACTGCTGTCCCAAGACTCAAACAGGAGCTTCTGGTTGAAATTCCACACGTAGGGGACGCGTCAGAGCCCCTGGGGCACACAGGTGCCAGGTACCTGCAACCAGAGCCTCACGCCAGAGACTCTGAGCACTGTCAGAGCCCAGAGGGTGGACGCCTCCTGACTGGCCAGCACTCCGGAGTGTCATGAAGTAGGGGTGGCCCCACTGTGGCCCACTGAAGACGTCTAGGCCTGCCTCCTGGATGGGGCTTTGGATCCTTGGGCAATTACCTGGTATGCCAGGGGTTGTGGTGGTGGAAGGGAATTCAGGAAGCAAAGACTGAAGTGCCAGATGCCTTTGACACTGCCTGGGAAGCCTACATCTCTCCTCTGGAGACCCATAAATCATGAGTCCCTAGGGGAAGAAGGCCTTGCAAAGACCAGCCCCTGGCTCTAACCGGGGCGACACTCACAGCCACGATGAGAGAACACTGTCCTTGGAACACTCCAGGGATGGTTTGATTAAATTCCTTCTATGGCTCATTTCTGGGACCAGGAGGACTTTCAGTATGGCATTTTTCTTCTGACTGAGTGTTTAAAAACTCTTCAACATTATTGGAGGGAGATTGGGCATTATCCATCAAGACTAGAACATGTCACTTCCAAGAACTTCTCTTACAAATCAGAGCGGTACCATGAGCGGGGTACACACAGCATGGCGGGATGCAGAACACTGAGCGTGAGCGTCCTTGCATAGGCTGGCCAGGCGACACGGACAGGGTGGGGGCCTGGCATGGCTCTGGGCTTCAGGTCCTGCTCCGTGCTCCTCGGGGGAACGGGCTCTGCCCTGAGGTGGCTGAGAGGGATGCTGGCCAGCTCTCTCCACTGCGAGGGCCTCTGGAGGCATAAAGAGGTCGGCTCCGGGACGCAGAGGCTCTGCGGACAGTCTCAGGCTCTGCGTTCTGAGTCTAGGAGTTGGCTACAACCTTACTGAAGAGCCTTTACCTTAGAGATGGGGCTGGAAGTAGCCACTGGGCCCAAGGGAGGCCCTGAAGCCAATCCTGAGAGGGCCAAGTGATGACCTAAAGGAAGCTCCTCAGAAAGCAAAGGCCAGGTGAGCCAGTCGGGCAGAGCTACCCCTCAGGTTCCACGGGTCGGTGCACCATGGCACGAGAGCGCATCTTCTAGACTCTTCCCGACAAACTCTCAGTTTAGACACATCCAGAGCTCAGGAGCCCCGGTAGTCAGATAAAACAAATGTCTTCAACACAAGCTGGAGAGGACTGACCACAGCCCACAAGAGCTTCAAGCACAGTGTTATCCAAGATTTTGCAACAAAATGTACCCAGCCATTTAATGAGACGATTTTAATTTGGATCCCACAACGACTGTCTAGCGAGATGTAAACACCTCTCCATGCTAATCAAATGCCTCTCATCTCCTTTCGATGGATTCATGACTGGTTCATATAAAGATAATAAAAATTAAATGAGTCATGAGCTTATAAATCATTTTCTTTTGGTCTTTTTAATAACTCACTTTCAAAGAAGCACTTGCACGGAGCATATGCTTCATTAGAATTATTTGTTCCTGGTTTTCTACCTCTCAGGCGTGGGAAAGGTGCACCTTTTAACACACCCTTCAAACAGTGCCACAGACACTTCGTTCTAATGGGCTTTCGTTCCTGCTTTTATCACTGTATTCTGCCTGCCAATATGTGAAAGCCCCAAAGAGTGAGATTCAGTGAAAAAAACAAAAAGCAAAAAATAAAATAAAAAAAAATATATGACGAAAAAGAGTAGTTCTTTCAAGTTGCTTGAAATATACTGAGTGTACGGTAGGCTTTTTTAAAAAAGAAAACTATGACAGACAAATGTTTCCTATCTCTGAGACTATTCTGGCTAAATAATTCCACATGCTGGCCGTAGGGGTTGCCGCTCCCCTTAATTATTAGGGCCCAAGGCCAGCATCAGTTGAGCCCAGCACTGAACCCTCAGTCTCACGCCCAAGTGGACGTCTGCGGCCCTGGGGCAAGGCTGCAGCAAAGCCAGGCTCCAGGTGTTGCAGCCCAGGAGCAAGGCACCTGGGAGTGCCCGCGAGGCTGCAGAGTCCTGGGCAAGCTCCACTCGGCTGAGCAGAAGGCTCCCTGCAAGCGCTGCGAAGGGCAGCTGACGGCCCAGCACCTGGAGCAGCTGCGTGTTTGTGGTCAGAAATCTAGTAGCAACACAAGCAGTGATTCAGCCCATTTTCCATTACTTGTGATGTTGGGGATGTCCTGTCCTGCTTCTTTCTGTCCCTTTCCTGGGCAGGTGCCCAGGCCCTCAGGATCACAGGGGCAGTGAGGAAGGCAGGAAGCAGAGGGAGTTGACACTGTTGAGGCAAGACCTGGAGACTGGTTTGGGGAACCACCCTCTGTCCTAAGTGGCTGCTGTGCAGTCTTTGTGGCTATTTTGGGTCTGTACTCTGCAAGAGTGAGCTGGCGCCCCCACCCGAGCCAGCACACCCAGGGCGGAGGGAGCCAGGGTACTGGGAGAAGCGCACGGACCTGCCTCTGACTGGGGAAGGGTGCCGTATGGCCCTGCTCTGCGTCCAGGTCAGAGGGCTGGAAGCCCTTTGGCGCTGGGGAGATGCTGACTTCTGGTAGAAGTTGATGTTCCAGGGATCCAAAGACCCCTCTCTATCACTGGGCTGTGCGATCTCAGGGCGCAGAGTACCCAAAGGTAAGCCCCTCCCTGTTTCCCAGCAGCCCTAGTATCTGGCCAGAGTTCTCCCTAAGGATAAGCTTCCGCCTTGGGCTCTGGTTGCGGGGAGACACGTGTCAGTCGCGTCCTAGGAGTGGAAGCAAAACTCCCTCCCCCAGAGTTGTGTCATCCGCAGGCCAGGGCAATTTCAGCAGGGGCTTCTGGTGCCCGCCGTGGGTGGACCATGGGGCTTCACATCAGGGACTGGATGCTACTCCAGGGGAAGCCCGGCCCCAGCACAGGACTGGCAGAGATCAGGGAACTGCTGTGGCCACCCCAGCTTACCCTCTGGGGCAAGGGCAGCATCTGTTTTCCTTGCGTTGTGGGTCCGTCTGCGCATGCACACATACCCACGCAGGCATGCACAGGGCCAGGTCTGAAGCACACCCAGACCTCCACCTGCTTGGGTAAAGAAACGGACTGCTGACCAGGAAGTAAACAAATTACGGGTTGCGCTTTCTTTGCTCCGGGGAACACCAGCACGAGTGAAAGCTATCCATTTTTCATCAAATCAACAGAAACAGAATGCAGAAAACCACAGTGAGGGGGGGCCGGCCCATACCCCCTGCTGCCTGGGGGAGGCAGTGGGCGGGTTGCTCTCCCTCTGCTCTGGGGCTGGAGCTTCTCTGCTGCAGGCTGGCTGAGCCTGAGGAGGCGGGTGTCTCCGGGGGCTACCTCCGAGGCGCAGCACGCAGGGGCTGGGCTTCCAAAGGCTCTGTGTGCCGGGCAGGGCTTTGTGGCAGGAACTTTCTGGCCGCCTTGCGCTCTGGATGCATCAAGGCGGAAGGTAGGGAGGAGAGAGACCAAGGGCACCAGCGGGGCTCCCTGGAGTTTTGGGCCCATCATTAGGGATCCTTTTAATCTACAAAGAGCTTGGGGACCCCGCGGCACCTCCAGCTGGCCAGGTCACCCCTCATAAAGGTCTGTAGTCCTTTTTTGCCCATTTGGGGAGAGCCAAGGTCCCGCCCCCCAGTATTGAGGATGGCACCTGGGAGCACTGTACCACAGAGCTACATCCTAGCCCTTCTTTTTTGTTCTTTTGTGGCTCCCTGGCACCTGGCGAGTGGGTCAGCCCACAGGACAGATGCCCGCCTGGCAGCCTGGACGACATGCGCAGGACCGGTGACTCCCTAAGTGTCTGTGACAGCAGCGCTGCTCACCAGTGCGTGCTTGTGTGCCTCTGGGCGGCAAGGACGCATTTGCTTTCTGATCAAATATTATTCTGGTGCTCAAGGCATCTTTGATGTTTGCAAGTCAGAAAAGTTTAATTACATGTGTCATTAGGATGGCATTCGGTAATAGCTCTGTGACTGAATTCATTAACAGAATTCTTAACAGATAAGACAAGACAAATTAATATTTTGTTGCCCATGAAAGCGTCTCATTAAGAGACTAGTGAAAAAGTGATTAATATTTTGTTGCCAATCAAGATGTCTTAGACAAATGACAAAGAAAGGAGGCCCACCCCCCCTTGTGCTCTCTAATCTTCCTGCCTTGCTTCTGCGGGCGGATCTACTTCCTCTGCTTGTGGCCCTGTTTGTGCGCCAGTTATGAGAAAGAGGCCGCCAGGGATTGCATTTCATTGCTCAATAGGCGGGGAGGGGCGGGCTGGGGTCCCATAGCCTCTGGGGTGCTGGAAGCCCTGTGGACCCCGGAATCTCTGCTCCACAGCGTTGCTTTCCTCGCCTGATCTCCCCTAACCAATTCTTACTACAAATATGCCCCGTGGCTCCTGGGGACGTGGCTCTGCTCACCTCACTGTGTCCAAGTGGGGCTGCTACACGCCTGGGCATCCATGTATAGCCTAGAATGCCTGAGCTGGCAGGATGTCACCGTCCCCAACTCCCTGTCCCTTCAACAAAGTCCAGCAGCTGCGCCAAAGCTGCTTTGGATTTGCTGGAAGTGGCTGGTCAGTTTCTCGCTCACTGGGTCAGTCAAGGCTGATGAGGACAGTGTTGTCCCCACCCCTGACCTCAAGTCACAGGTGACCTCAGGGGCCCAGCGGCATGACTGGGGAGACTTCTGGGCTCCTGCTGGCTGCTCACTGGAGATTTAAGCTACAGAGTGTTGGGAATGTGGCTTACCAGCAGCTGTAGCAATAGCATTAATAGCAGTAACATTTATAAAATACTGTATGCTAAGACATTACATGTGTTGACTCAATCTTCACTGTGACTCTATGAGGCAGGTACTGGTTTTCTGTTTTTTCAGACCTGGGGATTGAGCTCAGGCCTTGCGCTTGCCAGGGAAGCACTCGTTCCACGGAGCCATCTCCCCGGCTCCCCAGGTACTGCTCTATAACCCCATTTCATAGATGAAGAAGTTGAGGCTCAGAGGGACCAAAGGTTCTTTCCAAGATTACTCAACTGGTAAGTGGAACAGCTGAGATCTGAAGACAGCGCCCTTTGACCCCAGAACCTTCCCTGGCAGACTGCAGCCTCCTTCCCTGTGGTGGGGGAGGTAGGTGCATTGTGTGCACTTTATGGGAGCTTGTGTGTACTTGCAGGCTACTGGCTTAGCCACGGCAGCAGCATTTGCTAGGAGGTAATGAGGGGCCATTACTCTTTGGTTGTAGCCATAATTATCCAAATTGCTAACATTATTGTGGAAAGTAGAAATGCAATCGAGTTGGTGCTACAGGCATGTTTGAAGGAGGAGAAAAACTCTCAAGGTAATTTAATTAACTGATGGAAAGTACATTAAGAGGGCTTTGCCTCTGCCTTCATTTCTGGTGTACTTAAATAGGGGCTGGAGCAAGGATGCTCAGACCATTACAGGTGGCCCTGGCCAGGCACTCTATCAATCACTGCTGCACGAACGCATTTAAAAGCTGACACTCTACCTTGAAAGCTCCGGCACACACAAATGTGGACCCCAACACATACACACACACACCCTGCTCTTTACAGATAGGACGGTGAGCTTAAACTCTCAGGCAAGCGTGGGTCACCTCGGGTCTCGAGGACAAGCACCATGCCTGTCCACAGCCCACGCATCAAGCCCCCCTGCGTTGAGCTGTGCTGCCATCCAGAGAGGTAGAGGGACATGCTGCACACGCGTCGGGGAGCAGCAGGAAGCAGCCTGCCCAGCGCCGCAGGTCATAGCTAGCCTGCTGGAGCGGTTTTCTTTTTCTCCAGACTGCAGTCGAAAGGCCAAGGGAATTTCAGAGTCCCAGCTGTGGGGGGCCCTGTCTCACTTCAGGATGGACAGCTCTCCTCAGAAGCAGCCTCAGCCCTGGAAGCCCCTTCAAGGTCATGGGGTTTAGCTAGCCCTTCGTCCTGCAGTGCTGTTGACCACAGCCCTGGCTTGAGCTTGCGTGGCACAAGGGGCAGGAGGCGCACTGCTTCTGGGCACAGCTCACTCTGCTGTGGGGCAGGACTGATGGCGGGCGTGGGGTCCCATTGAGGGCACCCAGACTGGTCTCCTTATGGGATACGCCGTGGTACTTTGTGCCAGTTCAACCCTAGGGCCACACAGCCCAGGTCAGCTCCCTCTGCCCCCGTTCCCTCAGGATGTTACCCTGCAGGTCTTCCTTCCTTATGGGAGGCCAAAGGCCCACGGGGGAACATCTCTGCTGTTTTGGGGAAGGAGACCACGGCAGTCCTGCCTTCTGCCTGAAAATTATTTTCCTATTATTTTAGCCCAAATGGAACTCCTGTTGTAGCAGCCCACTGCGCGCTGACATCACCGTCCTCTCCTATGAGCTTCTGGGGAGCCGTGTGGCCCCTTGTGCCAAGCTGGACCAATAAATACACTTGAATCACTCCACTTCTCCAAGTCCAGGCTGGGGAGGAATTGCTAATGGTGCTTTTCTTCTAGATTAATTCACCAAGGAGCAGCAGGCTAAGGCATTAGGCACACAGTGGACATAGGTGATGTCGGGACCCCAGCCCAGCTTCCTGCATCCTTGGAGTGCAGAAGTTGCCCCGCCGGCCACGTCATGCTGTCTGCACTCAGCTGCTCTCTTCTGCTGAGTGGCACCACTTGAACTAGTGGTGGCAAGCCTACAGCACACGTGTTGCAGTGGCTGTTGTGTCATTGATAGCTCTAAAGGGTCACCATCATGGCTTGGGCCATGAAGCCCTCATTCCCTTGTCCAGCAGAGAGCACCCCAAGGTGGGCCTCCCTTTGGCCCTGCCGCTGCCATGGGCTTCCCTACACTGTTGACTCCTCGGAGGAGGTCCACCTAGTGCCAACATGTGGTGACTTACATTGATGTCTTCCAAGTCCAGGAAGTTCAGGGTGAGCCCGTTGCGCTTCCAGACGATGGGCGGCCTCAGGTCTCCACGGATAGCGCAAGTCAGCACTGTACTCAGTCCCACAGTCACAGTGGTCACACTGACCCTGTCCTCGGGGGCGAGGCTGAGCTGAACCACCTCTGTAGAGGGAAAGGAGAAGTTACTCAGGTGCAGCCCTAGCGTGTGGAGTCGCCACCCAAAGCCACCAGGCCATTGGCTTACTCAGGGGCAGGCCCAGGAGGTTCAGGGGCTCAAGGTCCCTGGCAAGTATTAATGTGCAGACTAAATGTCAAAGGGGCACTTTTCCTGGGAGATGTGCCCTCACTTATGCCTGATACTTAAAGGCTCTGTGAATCAAAACAGGGCAGGATCTAGGGCGGACATGCAGAGGAGTCACACGGACCACAGATTTGTGAGTGGAGCCCAGAAGGCTGGCTGCCGGGACTGCGAGGCTACTGCATGGAGGCAAGGGCCGTGCGGCTCAGAGCTCGTGGCCTAATGAAGCTGGAGCCCTGCTAAGTGCAGTCAAGGTCTGCTGGCCGAGCCGACAGGCATCTTGTGCATCTGGGGGCAACTCAAAGGTCGCACAGTCTGAAGTCTGGGGAACGAACTGGCTGACCTTTGAAGGTTTATTTCTATTGGAAGATTCACTGGACTTGCAGCTGGATTTCTGGTCTGTGACCATGTACTGTAGCCTTTAATTTTTTGAAGTGTACTTCAGGCTGAGCAAGTTGCAAGTAATTACCATGTTACACTTGATAATTGGTATTAAAGTGAAGCATTCTTTAGACAAATGGGCAGGGTCTAAAATATTCCACAACCCGTACAGGCTTTTTGAAATTCTTGGGATGCATGAAAAATTCACCAAACTCAGGCTGCTTAAATGCAAATGTAGGATCAGGCTGGAGGGGACAGTCCTTAGCCCTTTGATGGGACTGGCTTTGTCTCCCCAGTCTGCCCACTTGGAGGTTGGGGCAGCAGCCAGAGGTCATAGGAGCTGAAGGAGGCAGGCTGGATTTGAGGGTCTTTTCAGATGCTGGGAGCCCTAGTCACCCCTAATCTCTTGGAGCTCAGCCCTGACAGGTTTGTCCAGCAAACACTCTGGGGCAAAGCACAGCACTGGGAGTGGGGCTGTGTGATTCAGCAGGGACCTTGCAAGCTGTGCTGGTCCCTGATTTTCCTGCCTGCCCCCGTGGGAGCAGGACAGGAGAAGGTAGCCGAGGTGTGGTGCACTGTGGAGCTGGCTCCTCGGGTCGGGGAACTGCAGCTACCCTTCCCTTACCCACTGACATTCAGCAGCCCAGCCTGGGCCCACAGAGAAGAGCAACATGGACACTTGTGGCTTCATCAGCACTTGGTGATGGTGAACCAACAACTGGGAAGACGGGAATACAGAGCAGCCATATGGCAAGTTGGCCGGGTGAGCCCACACTGGGGAAAATGCAACTCCAGGGAAGGAGGTCATCCGAGGAAAGCACCGATGTGGGCGCAGTTGGCATAATATTTCACAGACATTAAAGTGAGGAACTTCAAATTCCCTCTTAAATCACGCCCTGCTTGTGGCCTTCCCACCTCCCAGTGCTGAGCGTCCTGCTCAGGGCAGGGGGAGAAGGCACCATCCCCTGGGGCAAAGCCCAGGCTTGGGGGGACAGCTAAGGAGGGATATGGCTGTGGAAGTTGTCTAGGGTGGTATGAGATTTCATGCTCTGGAACCAGGGAGGGTCACAGATGTTCCTCGTGTCTCAAGGGATTTGGGGCATGAGAAGGAGACTGGGTGTGGAGCTGAGGGGATCCTGGGCTCTAGAAGGGTCCTGAACCCCTACCTGCTGTGTGCAGAGCACCATGACTCTGGGCAGTTGTGAGGTGCTCAGGGACCACATCGGATGCCAAAGCCCTGGGCCTTGAGGGTACTCGAGATAGTAGAGGATGCAGGGGGCCCTGCTGGGGTGGGAGCCAGTGTCCTGGTCCCAGGCTACAAGCTCGGGCCAATGGCTTTCCTAGGGCTGAACTCAGCTGTGAGTGATCCCAGCAGCTCAGCCTGGAGGGCCTTCTCCCAGTGGAGACTGAGGCAGCGGAGGATGGAGGCCAGGCTGGAGGGCATTGGGGGCATGGGGCAGAAGCTGGGCACCTGGAGAAGCATCACTCTCAGGGTGTCAGCCCGGGCCAGGCTTCTCTGTGGAGTGAGCATGGCGTGGCAGCTTTCTCTTCTGGGGTGGGCTTGTGAGGAGGTAAGGTTAGCTACAAAAGGACCCCGTGGCTTCTCTGCCTCTGAGTGTGGTCAGATGAGTGCAGTCAGCCTTATCCTGGGCTGCTAACACACTCCCAGGAGGTGGTCAGATGGTCAAATGCCAATGGGGCCCTCAGGGAGGCGCCCTTGGACAGGCTCTGTTTCGCAGGTGGGGCTCCCTGGAGCCCTGAGCCAGGTGCCCTGGAGTCAGCACACAGAGCCCTGTCCCTCCCGTCACCCTGAACCAGCACAGAGCCCTGTCCCTCCCGTCACCCTGAACCAGCACAGAGCCCTGTCCCTGCAGTCACCCTGCATTGACATAAAGCCCTGTCCCTCTGGTCATCTCATACAGGCACAGAGCCCTGTCCCTCTGGTCACCCTGCACCAGCACAGAGCCCTGTCCCTCTGGTCACCCTGCACCAGCACAGAGCCCTGTCCCTCTGGTCACCCTGCACCAGCACAGAGCCCTGTCCCTCTAGTCACCCCACATCAGCCCACAAAGCCTTGTCCCTCTAGTCACCCTGCATCAACACAGAGCCCTGTCCCTCTGGTCACCCCGCACCAGCACACAGATCCCTGTCCCCCTATCCTGGGCTGCTAACACACTCATAGGAAGGAAGGGGGCTTCCTAATTTTAACAAGCACCCCAGCAGGTTGTGAGCTAACCTGAGGACTGAAATCCATTCCCTTCTGAGACACGGGAGTCTGGTGGCGGGGCTCACGGGCCCCCTGTGGAACCCAGGCTCCCTCCGTGTGGCCCCCACACCATACACTGCCAGCACTTTCGGAAGATGGTCTGGGCTAAAAGCAAAGAAGCAAGCACACTCGAGTGTGAACTGGCGGCCTCACGCATCCTGGAGCCCCCGCAGCTGGGGCAGCGGCTATGGCCTAGCCCCGACGCCTTCCCCATCCTTTGTGTGGAGAGACGTACACTTCACCCAGGGAAAACCCACGCACAGCTGGAATGCGTGAGTTCTGACAGGACCATCGTAATTCTGCTTCTGTCAGCTACACAAATATTAACCAAACAGCAAATATTTGGATTATTTAAAGTTTAATTAAATGAATGTTTTATTGGATTTAATTCATGTCAATATTCCCCAGCTTCTTTTAAAATTCGGAAGAGATTTACGGCGGCAGCACCCTCTCCTTCCCGTCTTACTGCCTTGAATTTACTGCTCGGCGTGCCTTCCCTGTGGGCCTCCCTCCCTGTGCAGTGGCAGGACCAGGCTTGACTGATGTATGTGCCCTGTGACTGTTAGGGACAGCAGCACAGGAGGCCACAGCACTGGCTGGGGCCCAACGTGGCGGGTGGGACAAGAAAAAGACGAGACACTCAGTGAGAGGTCTGAGGGCGGGGAGGAGGCTGCTGGCCTCCTGGCCCTGGGCAGTGTCATTCACTAAGATCCTCGGTAGCAGCAGAACACGGTAGCACAAGTCTGGAGTCCCAGCATTCTGGGAAGCTGAGACGGGAGAATCCTAAACTCCAGCCCAGCCTGTGCCGCCTAGTGGGTTGGCAAGACCCAGTCTCAAAATTAAAAAAAAACAAACTTTTTTTTTTTTTTTTTTTTAAGATTGGGGATGTAACTTAGGGTGAAGGCCCTTCTAGAAAAACAAAAAAGAAGTCCAGTGCTGAATCCCTGCACTTACAACATCCCTTATATGGGCCCCAAGGAACTCGGTTGGAAGTAGCCCACTGGGTGGATCATCTTGCCCAGGGTGGGATAGGGCAGATGTCCAGCAGAAGGGGCGTGTGGGTCAGACCAACCCCTACACCGCACGGGCCTTGTCTCTTCCTCCTACCCCCATATACTGGCATCTGGGAGCCGGGCGGCCTGGCCCAGACTCCTGCAGCCAGGCGCCCAGCTCCTACCACCTCCAGCATTCCCATGGCCAGCCCAGTGGTGGCGGTGAGGTCTAGAAGAGGGACCCTGTGTCCCGGTGTGCCTCACATGGTGCTGGGGGAGGGCCTGGCGTGAGGGAGGCTGGGGCGTGGTCTGCATGTAGGGACCACAGGGCAGGGACTGGCTAAATCCAGGCCTGGTCCTCACCCTGCTGGGGAGCTGGGGGCCAAGAGGAAGGTACAGGAGGTGCGGGCAGCTCTCAGGGGCAGCTGCCTGAGGAAGGCTCGGTGAGAGCCCTCCCTGTTACTGTAGGGGCTCTTCCTAGGGTGGTAGACATCGGTGGCTTCTTAGGGGTGGAAGTTTCTAAGGGCTCTTGGAAACTAAGCAGCAAGACTGGCTTGTCATTCAGCATAATGAAGGGACAGTGAGAGGGTTGGCTAGAGGGGATGCTAGGTCCAGACTTGAGGACATGATCTCGTAAGGGGCTGGTGTCACAGTGGGC